GGAAAACAAAACTCCGGGTATATAAAACAATAATCCGACCCATAGTAAGTTGTGGGTGTGAAACATGGGTTATAACACAGAAATCTACCAATGCATTAGACGTGTTCGAAAGAAAAATATTGCGTAGAATACTGGGTCCAATAAAGGAAAATAACAACTGGCGAATTAGATATAATAACGAAATATACGAACAATACACTGAACCAACACTAGCACAATACACTAGACTGCAGAGATTACGATGGGCAGGGCATGTGGCCCGCATGCATGAGAACAGAATCCCCAGAAAATTACTAAACGCAAGAATGCAAGAAAAAGACGTGTTGGAAGACCAAAAAAGAGATGGGAAGACGAGGTAGATGAGGATGCCAAAAATCTCCTAAAAACGCGTTCATGGAAAAGAACAGCAGTAAATAGAGATGTTTGGAGAGGTTTAATGAAGGAGGCCTAGGCCCGGCTTGGGCTGTAGTGCCATTGGATGGATGGATGGATAAGTACCATAATAAACTTTTAAATTAACTTATTTAGTACTTAGCAGACTTTGTTATAAGAATGATTACTATACTGAATGACAATAAAATAATATATGAAATCAAGAAAATCTCCAGGCTTAGGCGGTATATACATCCAGAGTTGATATCCAGAGTTTAATTTTGCAAGAATTAAAATGGGCAAGAAATTACCCTCCTTTTCAAACAACAAAGGGACTAAGACAAGGCTGCTGTCTGTCACTCACCTTATTTAAAATCTATTTTGACAAATCCTTAGTAAAATGGGTAAAAAAATGTAGAAACATGGAATAACGGTGGAAGAAAACATGCTATATACACTTTTCTTTGCGGATGACCAGGTAGTAATTGCTGAAGACAATCATTAATCCATCAATCCAATATAATAAAATAATATACAGGGTAGCTTATTAAATATTGTTTGCATCTACCAATATATCAAAATAGCTTGAACTGATGTCTCTATATTCCAGATAAAGCTGTAACTAGGTTTATTTGGAACATATATTGCTAGTATTTAATACCAGTACCAGCATGTTTTTGATTTTCTCATTTCAACAGTTCTTCATCCATTAAGTTATGCCTATTTTTCTTCATAGCGCCAATAAATGAGTCCTCGATTTGAAAATGTTTAAAGGCCATTCATTCTTTTGCATATAAGTATAAATTAAGTTTGATGTAATTTTAAAAGCCTTACCTGATACTGTCTATTTGGGACAAATGCAAATTTCCTTGTTGAATTAACTCCCACAATCTGCCAGGAGTTGCAACAACTATTTCAGGCCCTTTTGATAAAATCCGTTCCTGTTTAACAGCAGCCATGCCTCCAACTACTACTGCCACACTTACTCCTATAAACATAAAAAAAGATGTGTAAAGGATCAACAATATTAACTTTGACAAAAGTTTATTTCGCCCAATATAAAGCTGCTTAATAAGAATTTTCCAAATAAAGTTAATAAGTTTTAATCAGCTGATGTAGAAATAGTACATATTTAGGTAAGTTGGTGAATCTGTTATCAAAATTGTCCGAACTATCATAGTTTATTTTTTAATTAATTAAATTGGGATAATTAATTCATAAATATAGCTTCCACAGCACAGCATATGTACGAGGATGTAAAAGTATGGATAATATATCTGAAAAAGGTATACCTGTATATTTTGCCACAGCTACTAAATGGTTTTTTATCTGGATAGCAAGCTCTCTCGTTGGTGTTAATATAAGAGCAAATAGTGGTTTAAGCTTTGAAGTTTCTTTCATACTGACATCGTTGATTAATTTTACACATCCTGTATCTACAAAAATAAAAATCAACACTCTAATGTATATTTAAATTGCAACTGAATGAAAGTGATTTCGACATTGGATTAAAAATGACTCACTTAAGTTACATCTTAAGATGTTATTACTACAAAGGGTTTTTTATTTTACAATAAGAAAAAGACATCAGATCAAGAAGAACAATTCCCATATTTTCACATTCCCACAAGAAAATTCCACTGTTATTGAACATATGTACTCCAGATGGACATAGTATTAAAATTAAGAGTAATCTTAACCTACATCCTCATGTAAATGTGAATAACAAACACATACCTTCTTTAAGTTCATCTTCAAAGTCAGATTCATCAGAATTGGACTCATCTTCTTTATCATCTTCTATCATTGAATTTTTTTCTTTCACTTTCAAAATTCCTGTTAATATTGGTAATCCAAAAGCTAATGTTTTCCCACTACCTGTCTCAGCTGCTCCTAGAATATCCCTTCTTCCTATAAATAAAAGAGGAATTTTGTCACTTATCTAAATACTGATGAGTATAAATATTTTAATAAATTATTACAAAGTAAGACAAGAGAAAACTCTTTATGAATAACAATCTATTGTTACGAACATGCATTCAGCGTGGCCATGTAATGGTTGCATCTTGAAAGGGATCGAGATCTTTCAACAGATGTCTCGAGCACATGGGAGGATCTACTATCAAACAACGAATTAGAGGTGGGACTACTCAAGATGATTGTAGAATAATACTTTTGGTATATATATGGAGCAATATTTCTTTATTTAAGAAAACATGTCATTTATAATTAAATATTTGACAATAAAAATTAATACATTAAATTTATATAGTCAAAATAAAGAGAAGTTTTTATGAGTTTTCAAATGTAAAAGGTTTTAGGAAATTGACATAATCATACCTAATATTGCTGAAGGCAAAGTCAACTCTTGAATTTGAGTAGGATTAGAGTACCCCAACTCTGCTATGGCTTTTAATATTGATTCAGGTAAACCAAAAGAATTCCACGCTGTGACATCCAAATCATTTTTGGCACTTTCAGCTTCATCTTCTATGCCTGAGGTATTTCCTGACTTAGATGGGGTAAAATGATCTATTTCTATGTGCTGTTTATTTCTCTCTTTACTTACATTTTTTCTTTTCTTCTTAGGTATATTACTTTTCTCGTTGGATAAATTTCTTTTTTGTGGCTAAAAATAAAAATTTAGGTTTATGTACAAAGAAATATTGCAGAATATAATGGTCACTGGTTTTTAATAATACAATGACTGCTAGAATCCAGCATATTCAATAAGAGGTCTGTCATAACCAAATATTCTGGAATCTTGCAACACCAACTGCAACATACTAGAACAGCAAATTCAGCATTTGTATTTATTATAAAAAAGCATCACAAAACGACCTTTTTTCAGTCTGAATATTACATTATAATTTGTAACTAAAATCTTCACTAGTGTAAATATGTTTATTGTAAGTGTTTCTGCTTTTTGAAAAAGTGTTTTTCAAAAGAACAGTCATAATTCGTTTCATCTGTGACTACCAGATATATTACCAAACTGATCCTGCAACAGTCACAACTGTTTTCACATAAGTGTGTATCAATAAGTGAAATACAATGTCTGTAGCAGTAAAAAACAAAACTCCAGGAAGCAATAATTCCGAACTGCTGTCTATAAAGAAGGATACAATGGGTGCTTATGTATCTTTGTGCTTTTTTATTTTATAATTCTCTTTTTCTATAACATTTCGACATTGTCATTTCTCTAAAACAGTAGAAACTCATTTTGCAACAGCAATTACAGTATTTTTCAACAGCATTCACTATCGCAAATTTGAAATTTATAGTTTTTACACAAATATTTACCTTTTTTGAAGAAAATTCATTTAAATCATAGTCTGTACATTCCTCTATTCCTATCAGATCAGTTATATCCCCTGAAAATACATTTGAATCTATAGCCACCGGTTTCCAATTACCCTTGATGTATTTAGTCATTTTATATTAATTTCAAATTTTTTAATTCTACACGTGAATAAATGACAATAGTCTGCTCTGCCTACACCAAAAAGTATGGTTAAGTTTATAAAAAACTAGTAAGGTAAGTCCTATAGAAAGATTTGGGAGAAAGTTTCTAGCGCCAAATGCGGACGGGCCCAAACTAATCTCATTTGGCGGTAAATTCAAAACGTAGTTTTTGAATTTTGCACGGCAAAATTCAAAAGTATGCTTTTAATGGAAAAAAAGTCATAAAATAAGAAATAAAAATTCACTTGGACCAAATGTAAAAAACGTCTGCAATGTTTATTAGATATATAAAAATTTATTTATACTGTTCTTATCTTCTATTTCTAAAATTTGGGATACAATGTTGTATGTTTTATGTTTTTATACCGCCATTTGCAATCTGCAAAGGCGTGGATTACAATGTTGCCACTACGCAAGGGTACTACGAGGGTACTCAAAATTCTTTAAGAATAAGTTATTCCAAATTTAAGTGGTGATTTTAGTAGAATTTGTTACAATCTTTATTTTTTTTTAGAAACCTTTTTTCATTATTTGGGTAAATATGCAATACATTGTTCGGTGACAATACTAGTGAAACCACGGCAACATCACTTACATCAACGTCAGATGTCTCTTGCTCTGTCATACTTCCACTTAAAGTGACTAGTAGCGCCGTCACCAGTATGAACGGCTGGACCCAAGCAAATCATTCTTCCCATTTGTCCTATACCACTTACACTACTATTTGTTGTGGTACTCTGTACCCTGTATACCTGTCATCGTACCTGTGTACTTTGTGTGTACTCTGTACAAAAAACATTTAACAGATACATATCACATTAATCACGGCACAAAGTTCCAATATGCTGTGTTCTAATAATCGAGCAAAAAGATAAAATACAATTTAGTGCCTGAGTTTCTCCATAAATTATGAAAGAAGAAGAAGTAAAATTTTTGTTGTCAACAGCTTCCGTCAACGTTAGTTGTCTGCAAGTTGTCATTTTTCGAAGGGCTATGGAAATAAATGGGAGTTTGTTGTAATAACGTAAATTAAATTCCTTGTTTTCAATAGTCATAAAATGGTGTCAGGTTATTTTAGTGCAATATTTTCTGAAAAATTCGTATAGAAAATAATGTAAAAATGCTTTATTGTGTTCCACCTGGATAAGAAGTAAAATATTTTGATGATGAATGGAACTGATTTAACTGAAGAAGGGTCTTTAATTGACCGTAGACCCCATATAACATGTAAGTAATTTTAACATTCGAGTTCACGAATAATTTCATTTATTACTTTTGTTTTTAGGTGCTGGAGAAATCGAAGTTTTCTCCACAATTGAGGACAATCTCACTGAGGCCCTTCCTCAAGACACTTATGAGTGGAGAAGAACATTCGGCAGGCCCATACGGTCTGTTCATATTGGAGCAGTTTTCGTACCATATAGCCCTGCTGCACTACCAAAGCCCAACAGCTGGGACCTGATTAGGCAGCCACTTTTTCATATTTATTGGACAGATTGTTCTGTAAGTATTATGAGCCAATTTTATTAAAACTCCAATAAATTTTAGTATTTCTTTAACTACATATCATTTATGTTTGAGATAGTTTAATCACTAACCCTTATTTTATCAAAGTAATTTGACACTTGGAACAGTGATGTTTTGATACAAAAAAAACTATTTGAATTTTAGGTATTCCATTTTCTGAGATATTTTCTGTGCTATCGAAATAATAAATATCTATAAAAAATAATAATAATTTAATTAAAAATTAAATAAGCTAAAAATGTTGAATTAAATAATAGGTATGTGGCAAGTTGTTGTGAGTTTAATGTTAGTTTTACTTGGTTCTATGCATCCATAGTGTTTTACGTTCAATTTGAAACAACAGGTTTTTTCTGCAGTAAACATTTTGATGATCCTCAACTGTCAAGTTGATTTTATATCACATTGTTAATAGCATTTTTAAAGCCTTTATTATTATATGTACATAAATATATTTTATCTATTTGCTCTTTTAAAAACATAAAATAACTAAGTGTCTGCTTTAGATATTAATACAGTTTATCTTAGAAAACTGTTCAATAAAGGTGCTATTGTTAGTTTTATGAATAAATGTCAAGATTGAAGGCTTCCAATTGAATGAGATAGAAGTATCATCAGATGTACCTCAAGGTTCGCACCTTGGTCCCCTTCTAGTCTATGTGATCCCTCTTAATATCTGTGTGAATGATATTGGCTCCTGTTTTGTTCATTCACACTGTCTTATGTTCACGGATGATTTAAAACTTTATAAGATCATGAATATATTATGATTACCACTACCTACAAACACATTTGAACAACTGGTGTGAAATAAATGGCATGGAACTAAATGTTAAAAAGTCCTAGTTAATGGTCTTTAGTCATAACAGAATCCCCACCAAATAAATCTGTACTATAAAAGGTTGTCCTTTAGAGACTGTAACCCAAGTTGAAGATTTAGGTGTTTTTCTTGATTTCACTTTATCATTAATACCACAAATATTGATGACTATCAAAGTCACTTCAGATGCTGTACTTTATCAAACGTTGTGCTGAGGATTTTATTAATATTCCTCCATTAAATTATACTGATGTGACACCTCACTTGAATTACTGCTTATCTGTCTGATTCCACCACTATAATGTTCATATTCAGGCTATTGAGATAGTTTAACATAAATTCCCAAGATTTAATTCATTTAAGGATCACCTGACAACTGACAAAATCAATTACTCATTGAAACATTGAAAGTTCTCTCATTATCACAACTCTTCAGTTACTATTAAACTGGGAATAAGCCACAATTAAAGATAAAATTACGTTTATTGACGTTTCAATTTCCACTTCGGAAATCGTTCTCAAAATACAAACAGTATTTTGAGAACGATTTATAATAATAATTTATTATTAATATATTAATATTTATTAGCTTCAGAACAATACAACTCTTCAGGTCAGATGCATGCACAAGGATCTAACTATGCTGTAAAATCTATTACACTCCATAGTTTCAGTCTACAACTGTTATTAACACAACAAAATTAACCTCTATGTCCCTTTTAGGCAAACCAGGCTTCTCAAACTTTCCAAATTATCCATATAGATCTGTTAGGTTTGCAAATAAGTATACAGATAGCTTGGATTGCTTTGACAAGCAAAGTATTTTTAAAGTGCAATTAATATCTTGTATGTGATTCTTTGATGCTATTAGCTGTGTAATTTGGTTTAATCAATTGTCAATTGTGACCTGGTTTTGTTTTGTTCTGTTTCTTTCTTTTTTGTCTTTGTTAGTTTTAAATTTTATGGCATATAATAAATTAGGGTTTTAAAATATTATATTTTTATATTGTAATATTATATTTAAATTGTGTCAATTGCTTGTGGACAAATAAATAATAAAAGTAAGTAGAATCACAGCATTCTATATTTGTTGAATTACTTCAAAACTCTTTGGCAATGAGAAGTTTTAATTATTTAAGACATTTGTGACTAGATAAACTCATATTGATGTACGACTACACGAAGACACAGAAAAATTCAGCTTAGGTCGAGGAGTTAGACAAGGAGACAATATTTCACCAAAATTGTTCACGGCAGCTCTAGAGTCAATATTTAAGAGCACTCAATGGCAAGATATGGGCATCAATATAGATGGAGAAAGATTAAATCACCTAAGATTGCAGATGTTGTTGTATTAATCGCAGATAATTTACATGATACAGGTCTGTATCATGTAAATTATCTGCGATTAATTTAAAGAGATTTACTACTTTAGATACTAAACAAGAAGAGTTTAGAGAAATCTTCAATTTTCGAATTCACTCCAAAAGCATCTCTTGTTTCTTAAGTTCCGGAAAAACAAAGAAGTGTCATAGTCCTGTCTACCATGCATTTCAATGCTTACTGTGCAGATGATTTTGATAAAAAACCAGATGTTATACTGTATTATAATAGTACAAAATATGGTGTTGATACTCTAGACCAAATGGTTCATAAATATATATGCAAAAGACGAATTAACTGCCTTTTGCATTTTTTTATGAATATTTTAGACATGGCTGGGGTAGCCTCATTTATTACTTGGACAAATTTACATCCAAAATAGAATGAAAACAAAAATGAAAAGCGAAGATCGTTTCTTACAACAACGCAGAACAACTGGTGTTCTCTCAAATTTTGAGAAGAAAATCAAGGGGACTACAATCGGAAACAAAACAGTGTATTGAAAAATGCTTACAGGAAGTTGAACCACACAATGAAAGGCAAAAACTAGAAAAACCTCCAGTTTTAACAAGGAAAAGGTGTTACATGTGCCCAACAAAAAAAAGGACAGGAAACAAAAACAAATTTGTGAAATATGCAGTAGAAATGTGTGTAACGATCACTGTATAATTTAAAAAGTAGTATTGCAGTAAAGAAAAATAAATGACTAATCTATCATTTTTTTAACCTAATACTTAATAATAATTTAATTTGTCCTATCAATTTGGTATTCTAGTTGAAAATAAGCTAATCTTGTGGCTTAGTCCCAACTAAAATAGTATTTTATATATAATTTGTAAAAATAAAATAATATTCTTCTGACTTATGTGTTTTATTCATTTTAAAAGATCGCTTTTGTACTTTATACATGAGCTGCTAATTACCATAATCTTTTCTCAGAAGGGTTTTCCCTTGATGTATGTATAAACATCAACCCCTCTTTTCAAATAAAATGGCTGGTAGATTTACAAAAGTTTTTGTTTATTTATTAATTAAGTCTTTATTTGGATCCAAATATTTATTACTTGTGAATAAATATTTTTTTCTACTCAAGTTTTCTTGCATTTCATTGTTTTGTGCAAATTCTTAAGGTAGATCTCACTCTCGAGGTAGACCACATACTATAGTAGCACCTTTTTTTTTTAATCTAGACAATTTAACTTTAACTTTAGTAAAAAATCAAAAAGAATATTAGTCATATATGGGTAAATATGAATACATATTCAAAAACAGTGGTGGGCCCAATGGACTCAAGTTGCCCAGTTATATGTAAGTAAAATGTGTTGTTCTGATAAGGGTTAATTGATCGCAGGGTTTTATGGTATAACTTTTCAAAATTTGTTCAAAATATTTCCCATTTTTCCGATTTCAGGACTTAGAAGTGTACAAAACTACAGTGAAAGAAGACATTGAAAGTTGGCAGAGAGACCTAGCCGCTAAAGAAATTGTCGATTGGTTAATAGTAGTCGTCGAAAACTTTGATGGAAAACGTACAAACAAATTATTGCCTAGAACAACAGTTTTGGACAAGATTCGGGCTGACTTCGCACCTAAACAAGGTAAGAAATATTATAAAGTGTATATCAAAATGATGAAGTTTAATTTTCCATGGTACAAAACGATCTATGTCTCATCCACAGCCAAAACATAAAAAAATATGACAAAAACCTTCCTATTAAATGTACTTAATTGAAATCGAAATCAAGAAATAAGAATAACAATTGAATGTGCGTATCTTTTATTACCTATTGAAAAGTAGGTTGCCGCCCATCGTAATTGTACCAATTATTTTAAACGAGACCATCATTTTGTTACTCTTGAGTGATGTTCTAATTATACCTAAACGAAAATGTCATGAAGAGGCAAGGCTTCATGACAAGTTTGAATAAATAATATTAATATTAGTTTTGATTTTTATAGTACGGTAAATTTAACGGTGTTTTACAATTCCGTGTGCGAATAACCGGCTTAATTGACAAAAAAAAAGATGGAAACAATAAAAAGAAAATAAATTCTTAAATTTGCTAAATTTCCTAAAATCGAAAATCCAATGTATTAGGGAAATAGATAAAACCCCAGATTTCATTTTTATATGTTTTATGTCAAGAAATATACTTGATTGGACAAACTACAATTATTTTTGGCTGATCCTTAGGTCGTTTTGATCATAGTGATTGCTTGAAATCGTTACCAAGTGATATTCAGCGTTTTTCTTTCCCTCGGATTACTTGCGGATGCATATAATTTATTTCATGTATATTATTTGGAAAAGTATTTAGTATTCTTTTTATTGTATTATAATATGACATTAGTTATATGAGGGGTGTAAAATCAAAGACGGCAATCTTCACTTTTTCTTGTTTTGTGTTAGGGACGCCATCTGTTGCGTTTTTTTTTTATTATTTGTTAAACAAAACTATTTGTAAGAACCAAAAGCTATTTTAACTTTATACAAATCGCAGTGAAAAGTTCATGTTGGGATCAAAAGCGTCAATATCCATAGCTGAGTGTGTACCAAACACGACAATCTCTGCTCTGCTGCCAATAAGAACCACGTAGTGTTAGCATGTGATCAATACGTGGTGAGATTGGCTGTTACATCGTGCTATTAGAAATTAGTTTTGTGTATAAAAAAGTATTAATTTTTATCATGGAAGTTAGTACCTTTCTTGTTACATTCTTCATCAGTTTTTTTTGTTTTAATTTAATTTTGTTAGTTTCTACAGTTTTTCGTGGTTTCCCAAAATTATGTAAATGGGATATTGCCGACTTTGATTTTACACCCCTCATATATTTTAATTACTTATTTTCATTGTATATCTTATTATCATTTTAAATTCTCACTTTGATTTTGATTGATTGATGTTATATCGTCAGGTTCTGAGAAACCTTAATTCTCACGAAAGCACAAAATCTTTTAAAAGATCAAATTACTTGAAGAAATATATATGCAATTTTGTACAGACGCAGCGGCCGAAGGTGTCAGTTTTAAAACCTAATTTATTACGGTCTTTTGTCTAAAAACATCTCAAGACCACCCCCGAGAGAGAATATCTAAGTATGCGTTTGTCCTTACACACAGAACTAGGTGTAGTTAACCAGAAGTCGAGATGGTCACTTCTACGGTCTAGCGTCTAAGATGAGACTTCTTCTCGCGGTGTTACCACTTCGATTCCTTCTGAATTGACAATAATTTATGAGTTATGCCAATCAATTTCTAATTTTATTCGGTCGCGTATTTTACTTTTCAATTATTATTTTAATTAATTAACCAGCTAATTTTAATTCTTTCTACTTTAAATATATGTATTAAAAGTAAATAAAAACATTTATTATTTCATTCAGAAGAAAAATTTGATATTGACTTTGACAAAAACAAAAACATATGTAATGTTACCCAAAGTCTTTACAAATATTTCCGTTTAAAATTTATACGATAAGATTATTGTGTTTTAGGTGACCGATGTATATCTGTGATAAATCCCGGAAAAATCGAATCTCGCTCCGCCGATTCGTGGAGAGGTTTGGTTAACCGCATTCGACATCTCCTGCTAACATCTTATGCGAAAGCAGTCTACAGACTAGAAGAATACGTTCGGCAACAAAGAGAAAAAAGAAACGAACAGGGATGGAATTTTATGCAATATTTCTCACTTCAAGTAAGTACTTAAACTAATTTCAGAGGTATCGTAATCTTTTTACCGTACCTATTAACACAGTATGTTATATGTACATACACTATTTATTTACAACTTTCATTTATTTGTACAATAGCTTATTAAATCTAAAATACTTACTGTCTTTTAAAACTAAAAAAATTGCTAATACAGTGGTACCTCGACATACGAATGTAATTCGTTCCGTAATCTTGCTCGTATGTCAAATTACTCGCATGTTAAAGCAATTTTCCTCATTGAAATTAACTGAAATGTCATTAATCCGTTCTAGTCCCCAAAAAACACGTTAGTTGTTTTTGTTGAAGTGTTTTTAAATAAGAAATATGTATTTAAAAGAAGAAACATTTATTTATAAGTAACAAAAAATACACACACATCTTGTAAAATCATAAGAAAAAGTGCAATGCTTTTTTCCTCCCATTCAGAATATTGCGGAAATGTGTTAAGTAAGTTTCGTTGTACAACGTCGATGCACGACCAGTTCTAACTTTTTCGGAGTGATTTTTATCCACGAACTATGCAACTTTCTCTCACATTCCCAGGATCTCTTTATATCTCTTGTAAAGACAACGTCTTCCAATTCTAGCTCCTCTTCAAAACAAATTTTTCGTTGAACCACCATATGCTGCTTCGAATGTAGTTTGTCTAATTCCTCGGTTGTCGATCCTGAGACTGTTCCTCAACAAGTTCGTTCACATCTCTTTCATCCACCTCCAGACCCATGGATTTTCCAACAGAAACAATCTCATCTACCACTGACAATTCGGGTTCCAGTCCTTCGTAAAAATAAATGTAATATTGTAATGTACAAAAAGCACAAAACGCGAACCCAACTTATAAACAATTCTTCGAAAATGAGGAAAACAAGCAAAGCTGAGTTCTAAAGTAAAAATTTACACAGTGTAAATGACACCGACATCGAGAGTGCAATATGCTTAGTATTGGAATTCGAATTTTTGTCGGATTTAACTTCCAATAACCATTTTATTTGTCGGTTCAAGTAATAGTCACGTACAGACCCTTAAAATGATCTTTATGGCGAGGCCGTAATGATCTATTACCAGTAAAATTACCTTTTATTTATAAAGCAAATTTGAAGTAGTCAATAAGAGGTATGAATTTGAATAAAAACCAATTCCTCGTATCCCAAATCTTGGGATATCCAATATATCCCATATCTCATCCATCTATCCAATCCCATATCTCAAAACACTCGTATATTAGTGGGCACTTTCTACATAGGTATAGAAAAATATCCTAACAACTCCAACTGAAAAACTCCAAAGCAGCCACTCGACTGCGTTTATACTCTGAGATCAAACGCTCAACCAAACCATTTTTTACAGGCAATTTTTCTTGTACAATTGAAAAAACTGTACCTTATGAAATGCTGTGACCTCAACTATTTCACGCAACTTAATTGGTGGATCACTTAAGGCTATATCGTCGTTTTTATCAATCACTTCTGGGATGGTCACTCCCATTGAACGTCTAGAACATGTTTAACCTTTATGGCTGTTATTGAACACTGTTGCAAACGCCAGATCACACGTACCATAGTCTTCATTCAACTCAGTTTTCATCTCATTTGTCATTAATCCCTTTAAATAAAAATGTTTAGTCACCGCTTGAATTTTTTTTCAATTTTTTTTAACAATGGGTATGTAATTTGACATTTTGATAGCACTCTGCTGAGAAATCATGTTAATGCGAACTACGAGCAACATAACGATGAATTTTCTGAGGACTTATTGAACTATTTTCTTTCAGGAGGAACTGGCCCAAGTTTTAGAAATGCTCGGTTTGTACGACGAAGCTCTAGTTCAGTACGACGAATTGGATGCTCTCTTCTCTCAATTCGTAGTCAACGGGATCACGAGCGATAGCGTCAGTTGGCTGGGGAGTTTCCAGAAACCTTTAGAGAGGTGGCACGGCTTGAAGCTCGGTTGCTCCAAGTTACCAAAAGACCCCTCCATTTTAGAGTTAAGAGCTTATCTTTTTGCCAAACAGGCTCATATGTTACTGCTCACAAATAAAGTTTGGGAGGTAAGTTTTTGTTATTTTTATAGAACTAACTCTCTACGTTTCTTTACAACTTTTGTTGCCAATTTACGGTAATTTTAGAAACTTTTGTCACTAATATGCGTTGGCAACACAAACGTTGACATTTTTTTTGAATACTTACCTTAATAATTTCTGATTAAAACAATACAACTTTTTTAGTTTTTTTTAGAAAAATAACCTACTTTGTATTTTATATTGGTCTTTTCTTGTAGATGGCATCCCGGTGCTTGCCTTTTCTTCATACGTGTTCTCGAGAGCTGCTAGTTTTAGAAATAACCGCTCCGCCTGGTGCTATAGCTTGCTGGTTGTTCTTAGCAGCAATGGAAGTGCTAAATACGTGCGATAAGTTTAACCACGCCGACGAAGTTCAAGAATATTCCCTACATACAGCTGGTGTCTGGGAGTACGCCAGCCAAAAGGTAAGCACTTAATATAATATTGTTAATATCTACACTAATTTATACTGTAGTTCCTCTCACAACCTTTTTTAATGTCCCATTTCTTTCTAATACAGTAGCAGATAGGGACAAAAAATTGTATTGTGATTGTTTCTCGGAGAAAAACAACATATTGCAGCATCCAAATACATTCATATATTCAGTTCAGTTGTCATTTAACTACACTCAGTCCCTAACCAATCGAATTGTGAACATATAATAAGGAACTGTCCTTCCGTGAGCGAACGACATCTTAATATTGTCTGTTAGATATCGTTCTTGATGATGTCGAAAAAAGAAATCTATTATTCGCCGACTTCGAATAGGACACATATGGTTCCCTAATGACATCTGACAATCCTCAAGTATGTCTCGTTTTTCGGCTAAAAATGTGCCAGAAGACTGTCATCACATTGGTCCTTCTATTATAAAACATAACCTGAATGGAAAATTAAAAAATATTCTCATTATCCTGAACCGATTTCATGTTTTTAAACTTTTAAAATAAAAGACATTTTTGTACTCCAATTAATTTAAACCAGTTAAGTGACTGTTTATGTATTCTTTGTTACTTGCATAGATAATGTACTATAGTCCTTTTCCATCATATTAGCACATTATGTATGCAAATCCTCAACAGGTCAAAAAAACCATAGACGTTACCCTATACTTGTTTTGAAATAAATAAAAAAAATTAATAATTTAAGATGCCGTCAACAATTCATTATCTTTTAAAAAATCTCCTGTAAAATAAGTGTCCAATAATCTCACTATACCTTTTTTGTGCGTAAAAAACGTCGGTATATATGCCACACGATTATTGTTAGTTATACACGGGTGATTAACGAGAGAATTCAATGTTTCACGAAATAAATTAATGTAAACAGTAATTTAAAGGTGATTATTGTTTTCTATACAAGTTATCGCCTGACAAAAAAAGAATACCTTCTTTGAACGATTACCTGGAATTACTGATAAGGTTTCACTAATGATAAGTAGTTTAGAATTGCATCTTCCATTTAGTTTGTAGATGTACATTGTTCATGTCTTACCTACCTACATTTTGGTGTCGATATTTTATTATTTGCATTTAAAAATGACGTCGACAACAGGTTTTATCCCGGTTAAGTGTAGTTTTAAAGGTGCCTTGAGTCTAAGGGAGAAAAATATAATATTAAATGTACACGATGCACTTGTACATCAACGCCCTTTAAGTAATGTTCGTGAAATCGTTAACATGTGTTCAAATATGACAGGGGTTGGAGAAGCAACAATTTAAAGATTCCTAAAAGAAAGAAAAGGAGGAACTGTTTCATCTCCTAAGAAGATTGGGGGTAGTAAACCCTTGGAAATTGAAGAAATATATAAAAACATGATAAGACGCAGCGTCCACTCATTTTTTTTTCAACAAAGAATTTCCAACATTGGACAAATCCAAACATTAATTAGAGAAAACGAAGAGTTACCAATCATAAGCAACAAGAAATTATGGGGACTATGGAGAGAGAGATGGGATTTCGTTGGCAAAAGAATAGAAGAAAATCCGTTTTAATTGAAAAAGATTACATTGTATGTTGGAGACGAAATTATCTAAGAACTATTAAAAAGTACCGAGAAAAAGGGAAAACAATTTTTTATTTGGACGAGACTTGGCTAAATGAAGGTCATACTGTACCATATCTATGGGTTGATACAAATGTAATAAGTTCCCGTCAGGCATTCATCGAAGGTGTATCTACTGGAATAAACAATATTCCCGTTGGAAAATGACGCAGACTCATAATAACCCATATTGGAAACGAATACGGTTTTGTCGATGGTGGATTATTAAGTTTTGCCTCAACTAAAGATTACAACGAGGAAATGACTGCTGACGTTTTTCAAGAATATTTTGAGCAAATGTTGGATTTAATTCCAAAATAGTCATGGATAATGCTAGTTACCATTCAAGACTAGCAGAAAAATTGCCAACAACGGCATGGAAAAAATGAGAGATAATCGAATGGTTGGATAAACACGCAATTGAGTACAAGGAGAATTCGACAAAAAAGGAATTATTACCTATTGCAAGGCAACATTAAGCAGCTTATAAAAAATGTATAATTGATGAAATGGCATTAAACCGTGATGTAATTATTTTACGTTTACCCCCATACCACGTGATCTGAATCCGATAGAAAATATATGGTCTCAAGTAAAGGGTGAAGTCGGACGCAACAACAAAACTTTTAAATTAGAAGACTTACAACAATTATTAGAACATTCCTTATCAAATGTAACTCCAGAAAAAATTAAATAAAATGTGGAATTTGGATATGACTGATGCAATGCTGGAACCGGTAATAATTAACATTGGAATTGAAGATTCCTTAGATCCTGAAGAAAGCAGTGAATCTGAAATGGAATTTGATTAAAATAATAGTCATTTTTTTACAAATCGGCCAATGTTACGGCCACAAATTATTTTATATATAACCAATAAAATAAACATCTTACATTTCTTGCAAATTCATTAGTATCTGTTAATCTCCATCACTCCGACATTGGCAACTTTATTTAGGGATTAGTAACCCTCAAAACTATTGTATTCTATTCTGCTTCAACCTTTATACCTGGTGGTCATACTCAATTTAAAATTGTTTTCCTATATACTTCTGTAAACTTGTTGACAAATAACTATTTTTCATTGAGTCACCCGTATCAACAGTTTAGGGATTTGCATACATAATGTGCTATCAATATGATGGAAATGGACTATAACTACTTGTATTAGTCTGGTATGTTTATATTAAATGTAACAATTGTTGTAAGCTCATACAAAGAAGTCGAAACGAATGTGAAATTTTTCTGAAAAAAAAACACTTTTTTCGAACAATCGTATATTTAAAATATATCTAAATAATTATCTAAATTCTTCTAGATTCGGAGCTTAGGTGACCTCTGCGGTTTGATGCCTGGCGGTTCGCCTAGTTCAGAACAACTCCACGTTGTCGTCGGGCTCTCTGCTGGAATGGGAGACAATCCCGGCACTCCAGACTATCCCTCACCAACAGATAAACTAAAAATATCATTGTGTTCACAAGAAGCATTCAATAAGACTTATTTAGTAAGTATTGCATTATTTAAGTATTTTTTGCTGTTTTTGGAACTTTAAAAATATTAGCTTTGTTGAGAAAATCACTCTTTTTATGTCTGTAATTATTATTTGCCAAGTTTTTCTTTCTTAATCCATTCATAATTATTAGAATACAGGATTTGGGGCAACACCCAATATTTATTTTTTTATTTGTACTGTTACTGTTGGTCTGTGATATAGAGACTGAGACAACCGGTATAGTCCATCGTATAATTTTTGCAACTTACCATTTTGCTAGTTAAGTTATTTAAATATTCAAGCACTGATTGATCTAAATATGTATATATGTCTATGTAAATATATACGTCTTTGATCTCTACACACTGGCGTGTATTATTTTTAAAAGGGACATATGACGTTTGACAGTTGTTGGCGTTTGATGGATGATGTGTGAAAGTTTCGACGAAGTAAAAAAAGAAGACGAATTGACAGATGCGATCTGTCACACCGGGCGGTACATCAAAGGATGTACGTTTTTTTACAGGTTCTTCAAAATTTGTTCTGCTGCGCATGTTCCTTAACATTATTAACCGATAATTCAAGCATTGGTTAACATGTCTCTTCATTAATAGTGTTAAAATGTTAATGTCAGCCGTTTATTTGGTATTTTACTAATTTTAACAAACTTTTCCTCGATAATTGTTCACATTAATTACTATTTAACTGGGAATATCCACAATTAAAGATAAAAATACGTTTATTGACGTTTCAATTTCCACTTCGGAAATCGTTCTCAAAATACAAACAGTAAATTTACTGTTTGTATTTTGCGCATGTTATTTTATAACGTAAACAGAGCAGGGTCACAGAATAATAAACAATCAGAATGTCCACTCTCAGATGCCGCCTTTGAAGCTTTTCAGCACGCGCGCCATGTTTTAGAAGGAAACACATAACACAGACATATGATTTGTGAGGTTATGTAATTGTTTATATTTATGTTTAATTATATTATATTTATGTTATTATATTTAACAATGTTAATATAATTGTATAGTATGTCTATGGTTGCCGTAAATCAATTAAACCGGGTTAATTTTTCTATATACACCACATAAACAACACTGGTTCCCTCTAAAACATGGCGGAACGTCTGCGCGAAGGAGATGCGCGTACTTAATTTTCCATGGAGAGTGGGCATTCTGATTGTTTATTATTCTGTGGCAGGGTCTCAGACCAGGGGCGTACTGGAGAATTTTATACATACATTTATAAGAAATTTATTATGTTACATCATATCTAATTTATATATTGATTATTGTTTTAGGAACTAGCAGAACTGGCCATGGGCACCTACAAACACATCGGCCGATTACGTTCGGCCCGATTGGTCGGTCGCGAGCTGTCTTCCTTCTACATGTTACTCGGTGAAACCCAAAAGGCCGCAGCATTTCTCTCCGATCTCCTCAGGACGTTTGAGCAGGACGGTTGGCACGAATTGGCCGCTCAGACTCAAGTAGAACTGGCCGAGTGTCACCTTAAAGCCGACGATACAAAAAAATACGTTTGCTCCAGTGCCGCCGTCAGTGCTGCTTTGGAAATCGATACTTTGATTCGGTGGACGTACTTCGACGATATGTGCAAGTGTATTAATCTGTTGAAGGAACCTTTAATTGTGCCTTTTAGTGATATTTTTAAGGTGAGGCTTTTGCTGTATGATTTTTAACAACATATTTTGGAATATCAATAAGATATCAATTTTTTATAGGGATTATATTAGAATTTTTTACTTCTGTAGGTTGTTAATTTACCATTGATTCTACGACCACCTAAGAGGTGGAGGCCAAGAAACTATTACGAAGTAGAAAAACCGCAAATGCGCTTGTGTCAAAGAGTACAGTCTGTGAAAAATCATTGCACTTTGAACTTATTCGACAAATAACTAACTGTGGATTACAAATAGTTATTGAAACGGAATAAAATTTATTCTACTAATAAATTTTATTCGACGATTAACTATTCAGTGATTTATTTGTTGTTGGTGAAACCGGCCCTAAATCGTATGAAATATTTTACTTCCGGTAGCTTTCGTTAAATCAGCTACGTATTCCGATATTTTTATCACTTAAATATTTGCAATTCATTCATATAATTCAAAATACACATTTTTAAAACTCAACTTACATTTTTTTTTAGGTTATGAGCGTCTGCATAAAAAACGAAGACGACATAATGCAAGATAGTGATATTAAAGTTGAATTACTCATAGAGTCAAATTTTCCGAAAGAATTCCTCTGTACAAAGTTAGCAATCTCTCTAGAAGCCGTAGTAGAACCGTCGAAAGACAAGAAAACTAGCGAAAAGATATGTTCAAGTAGATTATTAACTAATAAAGATATGCGAACGCCCGACACGATGCTGCAACGACTTAAGATGAAGAGGAATTTGGAGTATAAACAGGACAAACAGCTAGCAGCTGCCGGGGTGGCTTCTAAGTTTACGGAACTGCATAGGAAAAACAGCACGCCGCAACAGCTGAAAGAAGAGATTGACGATTGTATAGAAGTTACTAATTTGGTAAGTGAATGTTTTATTTAATTGGCCATATTTGGTAGTCATGCGAGGAGCCGTATTTATATTTTGCCTCAAACTTGCAAACAAACAGTAGAGACCTACTAAGTATTGTATTAAAGACCTATAATAAATTTATTCTACCTTTGACAACAGGTTTCGCTTACTATAATTTGCTATGCATCAAGAGTCTCCGAGAAGGTAACTTAAATGCTAAAATATAACTTACCACTATTAGGGTACTGTTAAGTAAAATATAAATTATGCCAATAATATATGTGCACAATTTTAAACATATAATATTGACATAATTTATTCATTACTTTTAGGACACACTGTACATCCGATTCTGAACGTTTTGGTGACATTGTGTAGAACTAAACTCCAAAACTAAAAACCAAAAGTAAATTCGTAATATCCTTTAGTTAAACGACAAATGAAACACTCTCTGTATTGATATACTGTGCATTTGCTTTACATATTTGCTTTGATATTTCACAACTTTTATTAACATCATTACACATGAATTAAGAACGCTATTCTGCACTTTCAGGTTCGAAGTCAAGACGAGCTGCGAACTTTAAAGTTTTCTATAACACAAACGGTAGGCAAGCACATTTCTTTATGCACATAGCTTTTATTAATATACAGGGTGTTTCAATAATAAATGTACACGCATTATTTATGTCTATTAACAAAATATCAAATTTTCAGTGTTCCTGTCTCATAATTATATATTTTTATTTCTAAAAAACTGATAGTCGCATTAACAATTTGGGCATTAGCAACATTATTAATTCACAGTGTTTATATGTTCACCTAATAACGTTTTTAAATCACAGGGAAGATTGTTTTTGTGTCTTATCAATTTATCACTATATATTTTTTACATTTTATTATCAAATGTCATTGTCATGTATGTCATTGGAGTATTTCAACCTGAGGCATAAGGTATTTGTGAGTAATTTGAGGTTCTGGGGTCTCATTTTCCTGAGCCCTCAAATCACTTCACTTGATCACAAGTTCACTGCACTGCTTGGGGGACGGTCCATTTATTCCGTCGATGTTGACGTGGTTCAGTGACGTGGCGTTTTAGTGATGATTGGTACGAAGATTCTTGATGGTGGTAGCTGGATTGATAGACGGAGTGGAAGATGTTTTATTATAGATAGATAGATCGTAGAGAGGTGCCGTTTTGGCCTATTCGTCTAAGACTTTTCAGATCTATTGTGGTCATCTAGCCTAGATAACAGTCTTCCTTGCCACGTATCTGAATTGTAAACTTATTGTTAAAGCTATATCTCGTAGCTGTTGCATAGATAGGTAGCCCCATCCCAATATCGGCTTTTAGCTCATCGATTAACTTTCTGTTGTCATTGTCAAATTTTTCAATTTACATAATAAGAGAAATAGGACGTCTAGACAGATTTTTTTTGTTGGGTTTAAGTCATTATATTTTGGTTTCTGTCATTAACTTTTTCACTAAACAAATAAAAAGTTAAAATCATGTCAAACACGATACAAACATCTTATTATTATATTGTTTATAATATTAATATATATATATATATATATATATTATATATATATATATATATATATATAACTTTTTTATTGCCATTTTCTTATATATCTAATATTGTTCCAGCCTTTGGTGATAACTCCAGGACTAAACTTGATAAGACTGAAAAAACAAGCGACTCAAATCGGGAAGTTCTACTTCGGGCAAATAGCTATTCATATAAAAAACTTACACATTCTGTCACCTACGTTATCGCCCAGACTGGTGTTCGACGTGAAGCAGGAACATCCTACACTCAAATTATACAAAAAGGCAGCACCTTTACTTACCGGCATAGAACAAAGTATGAATTTGATTACGACTATAGGAAGTTATTCTATTGATCCTGTAAGTATTTTTATTTATTTATTTTGTTTAATCACAAATGAAACCCTTTATTTGCAATCTGAGCTGCTTCCTTGGTAGTTGTGGATGCCCCCTGAACTGGTAAAACCTGGATATGGTCTCAGCAGCTCTCATTGCTTCTTGGATTGTGGGACAATCAACGCTGCCTTCTTCATCTTCATTATCTTCATCAACATCCCTTTCCACAGTTTGCACTTGTTACACAATTTCTTTATCAGTTCCAAACTCTCTCTGGTTTACATTAAATTTTTGTATCCACTCTGACAAAGGCATTTTGTTATCTCGTCAACATCCTGAACATTGGGGTAATGTTCACGGGTTCCCCATTGTCCATACAAAAATCATCATTTTCAAAAGCTGTTTTCGATAATGGCACATTAACCTTCTTATGACTCCTTGGTCCATAGGCTGAAATACACTCGTGCAGTTGGCTGGTAAGAAAACTAGGTTGATATTAGTTAAATTAAGCTTGAAATGGGCTGCAGAGTTGTCAACTAAGAGAAGAATTTTTCTTTTTTTTTGAAGAGAGTTCCTTGTCCCATTTTCTCAATTCTTCTTCAAAAATAGCAGAAGTCATCAACGATTTTTTGTTGGATGTATAGTTTACAGGCGTATTATGGTGTTTTATGTTTTTGAAACATCTAGGAACTTTTCCCAATAACCAAAATCGTTCTTTTCTCTGTACCTGTCATCTTTACACAAACAAAAGCCGTGACTCTTTGTTTTGAAAGCTTTCCACCGACACATTTTTGATTTTTGGAATTTAAAGATTTGTCTAGCGTTTGTAAACGACACCAGTTTCATCGCATTGAAGATATTTTCATCTTGTATGGTTACCTTAGTTGTGGCCTTGTGTTTTGTAACCAATCACGTGTTACGTTCTTGTCTACACATTTTACCTCTCCAACAATTTTCGCGAAGGAAATTGAATGCCGGGTTTTAAAACGATCTAGTCAACCGTTAGAGCATGTGAAATCTTCACCAAACAGTTTTCCGAACTCTGTAGCTTTCTCTTTAAAAGTGGCCCGGACACAGGAATACCAGAACTGTGACATTGCTTGCTGAAAGATTTGCAATATCTCCGGTTCTAGAAAACGTAGAACCTTCATTGGTTTTTAACTGAAGAAGTTTGGGGCTCGCCAGATTTTGAAAGTAGAACTTCAAATTGAAGCGCGCTGAAAGATTTGCAATATCTCCGGTTCTAGAAAACCTTTATTGGTTTTTAACTGGACAAAATATTAAATGACGAAGTGCTAAGAGATAAACCACTCAGCCATCGTCAGTATGCATACCAGCCAGGAAAGTCAACAGACTTGGCGTTGGACTATCTCAATAGGCTACTCTCAAAGTCGTTCCAAGGCAAAGAGATAACGGTGGCGTCTTTGCTAGGCGTGTAAGGAGCCTGTAACAACGTTTCCTTCGAGTTCCTCTATCTAAATATCTAAATAAGATTTCCTAATGCAAAACTATGCAATTTCTAATGGCATTTTTACACGTTTTAGAGCTCAAAGATAAAACTGATTGCATCACCAGGATTATCACTGCAGACTGAACCTGAGGAGCCTTTGCAAAGTACGTTAGAAATCGAAGTTGGTCAAAATGTTCCATTTAGTAGTAATAGACGTTCATTAAGGGTGCTAGCAGATCCATTATTAAAAGATAATCAGGTATGTAGAACGATTATTTGCGTTAATAATTAATAATATTTAAGTAGAACCATAAATTGTTTTATTTAATTAATAAAAAACTTTTACACTACATTATATATGTTTATTTATTCAGCCATTTACGGTGTATTTTAAATGAAAGCTTTATTGTACATATATGTTTAATACTATATAATAAAAAAATTAGACATGATTTGATATTACTAATTCTAGGTTACCATCCACGTGCCATGGACGACGAAGCCCATAGTAGTAGGGCTCAGTTTTACTCCTCCACTAACGTCCTCTTGGAAGTTGTTCACCGTTCTAACCAAAAAATTCGTCCAGGTAACGGTGACAGGCCAGTGCGATAATCTAGTAGCTCGAGGGGTCAACTTGAACGTCGGGGGAGTTTGCGAATTGGTCGAAAGAAACTGTCTATCTAGTCAAATCATCTCAAACGGGTCAAATAATTCTTATATATGGGAATTACTTTTAACGTCAGAGATGGATGCTCTGATCAAAGCCGAATTTTCTCTTATCTACAATTTTGACAAGCAAACGGGGAGCAACAAGTTGTTTCAATATTTTTTTGAAATCGCCGACTATCAGGTAGGATATTAGCTATATAATTAAATTAATAAACTTATAGTATGAATGTGCCTTGAATATTATCAACGAATATGGACGATTTCTAATTCTTAACAAAAAATATCCTGATATCGGAATGTAAACAAACAAGGTTGGTAACCCGGTCAATAGAGGCACCAATTTTAAGCATTTCATAAAATAAACAACTCTAAAATGGTTTATATTAACTCGAGCCGACTAAGAAGGAATTAAAAATACTTTTTGCGTATTTTAACTTTTACGATGGGAACAGAGAAACATGGAAAACATTCTTCGTTATTTTAATTCATATATGAGGGGATTTCAATATATACCAAGGAATCAATGAATTTGCAAATGCTACAAGACCACTAAATCTACAGTATTACCTGGCCAAATTATTAGGTCAAGCTAGGACAAATATAAAATAATAACATTCCTGTTAAAATTATTAACTTTAAAAAATGCAAATTTTTAATGCTTGTCCTAATAATTTGGCCAGGTACGGTTAGTTATAAATTAAGTGATTGCCAAAAATTTGTATGAATTGAACAATTTTATTATAAATGCCTCTATCGACCGGGTTAGAAATCTTGTTTATTTACATTTGAAACGAAAGGCATGATCTCCATATCATTGTTTGTAATTGTTAATCACACATTTATTTCGGATGTTTTAAGTGATATAAATCGACAGTCACATCTTAATTTTGGTCCAGACTAGCATCCCAACGTATTTATTAATTCGACCATATTTCCAGACGTTATACATTCTGGACACTTCAGTGGAGCCTGCCAAGGGAAGCGAGTTTTGCAAAGTGGGGATCGTATGCCACCTTCATCTCACCATCGAGAACACTTTATGTCCGACACAAGCAGAGTCGGTCAAGTCCATAATGTACGAAGTTTTGGCCGAGCAGAGCGTGTGGGCGGTTTGTGGCCGAACTGCCGGGGTAGTGTCGTTTGAATTGCAAGAGAAATCTCAAACAGTCGTCTTGGAAGTTATGCCGTTGACGAGTGGGCATCTGCCGCTTCCGTTGGTGAGGATTTCGAAGTATATTCCGGCTGAGATTGGATCTACAGGTATGTTAAAAAAGATTTTAAACACAAATATCTTAACAATGAAAGACATAAAACTATATACAAATGTTAAATTCTCTTAGTCTAGCTCCTCCAAAACTAACAGAATGAATTGTATTTTACAAATATGGTGTGATTGTTGATTTAAATGATTCTTCTCATTTTATCGTATATTCTATTTGCAAAGAAGACCTTAACACTTACAGGAACAGATTCTCCTGTTTTTCTCAACAGATCCTCCAGATCCTGATTCTCGTCTACAGAGACCAGGTTTTATTCGCCTCTTACTGTTTCTAACGCTATTTTATGGAAATTAGATAATAAATGTTGCCCTCAGAAGGATGATTGCGCCACCGTGTTCATTGTAACAAGTAAATTAGAACGTCAATTTGTGACGTTTTCTGAAAACGCCAATTTGTAGCTAGTTCAAATTGGTAAGGGAGGAAAAAGAGCCACTTATCTAAGGGTATCAGCGCTTTCTGGAATATTAGGTAATTATATGATATAAGGAATAGTCCAGTCAATGAGGGTAGTTGAGTCCAAATTCCGTCGTAATGCATCAGTTTACTTACAGTAAGTAGTTAGAGGAAGACCTAATTCTAGGCAAAAAGTTCTATAATTTTTTTTTTAATCGATACTTTTTGAGGTATTCGTGATTGAAAATTTGCTATTTTTTATTGAAAAATGAACCTTTTAGGACGGTTTTTTGCGAATTATTTTAAAACTATTTCATCTAACGAAAAAAGTGTAAGAGACATTTTTGTATTCAAGTTTATTTCTGTTAACTTTTCTTTTACCTAAAGCTTCTTCCGCTGCTTGTAGGATACATTTTTTAATACTATTCCAGGTTTCTTCCATATTTTTTTTAGTCTCTAGGTTATGGCTATTTAGCTTTTCTGTTAGTCTGTAGATTTTTTTCTTTGACCTTAAATAACAATTTTTTTTTTTAAATCATGAATGTGTTGCTTGTGTGAGTCCATATCAAATAGGTAAAGAAATAATAATAAGACTTACTCACAATCAATTTAATTTAACAATCTGACGACCGGTTTCGCTTTCTACAATTTGCAAAGCATCTTCAGGTCGAGATACAAAGTTAAACTAATGCTGCAATAAAATAAACCCAATTAGGGTGGTGTCTCATAAAGATAAAATAAACAAATAAGTTAGTTCATACAAATTATAGTAATTATGCCAATATTACATGTCTGTGGTTTTCAAAATGAATATATTTGAATATATAAAAGGTATTAACAGACAAGGTAAGACCCACAATTGGTATAAAGTAGCAATCTTATATTGTAATAAATTAATAAATGAGCAAATAAATAAAACAAAACCAAACATTACTTACATGCGGTACTCTATTAATTGATGGAAGTAATGTTTGAAGTAATGTTTGCATGTAAGTAATGTTTGTTTTGTTTTATTTATTTGCTCATTTATTAATTTATTACAATATAAGATTGCTACTTTATACCAATTGTGGGTCTTACCTTGTCTGTTAATTACCTTTTATATATTCAAATTATTCATTTTTGAAAACCACAGACATGTAATATTGGCATAATTACTACAATTTGTATGAACTAACTTATTTGTTTATTTTATCTTTATGAGGACACCACCCTAATTGGGTTCATTTTATTGCAGCATTAGTTTAACTTTGTATCTCGACCTGAAGATGCTTTGCAAATTGGTAGAAAGCGAAACCGGTCGTCAGATTGTTAAATTAAATTGATTGTGAGTAAGTCTTATTATTATTTCTTTACCTAATTTTTTTTAATATTTTGTGTGACTCCTTTAGCTTTAATGATAGCTTTGATCCTCCTTGGCATGCTTTAAATGTTTCTCAGGGAGTCTTTTTTATTTTATCGTTTCTGTGCCAGGTGGCAATGAGTCTCTCAATGAACTGCTGCTTATTTATTTTTTCCAGGTAAACATATTACCGTTTTTGCCTTATGGCAAGGTGCTGAATCGTGCATAAAGGTAAAATCCTCCGATTCGCCAAAACCAGTCTTTGATTTGTGGCATGAGCTTTCTTTCCAGAACTTCAATATACTGATGTTGATTCATCATTTCATTCACAATGTACATGCCTCTATGTACCCTTACTGCTGATCACAGACCATACCATGATCTTGAGAGGACGCTTTACTCTCTCCACTATGCAATCCTTGTGATATTTTTCACCCACTCGCCTTTGGACGAAGGCCGACTTATCCATGAGTATCTCCACTGTAGACTCATCTGAGAAACAAACCTGTGAATATAAAAAACTATAAAATATTTTTTTAGGATACGAACAGTGGTCATAGGGATTTAAACTTTAGTAGTGACGTAATTTGCCTTATTCCAATCCTCAATTGTCCAATTTTGGTGTTCTTTGGCCATTCCAGTCTCTTTTTCATCATTGTAGTTTTTGGCAGGGCGACATGATTTGAAACCTTGCTCGGCAAGCCTTCTGCGGACTGTCATGTCAGAAACTGGCATCCCAGCTTCACGAATAAGTCCGCGAGGATTCTTCTTGGCTTCTTTCCATTGTTTACGAAGATATCCCTCATTTTTCTTCGTCTCTGGGTGTTGTGACACGCTTTCGACCACATTTTTGGGCACGCTGGTGAGTTGTTGGTATCAATTTTTTTCTTGATATTGCTCACTGTTGCTTGCGCTACTTGGCATTGTTGAGCTATCTCACGTTGGGAAAGCTTTGTATTCAATAAAAAGTGTCTTTAACCTGACCCATTATGATTTTCTTCTCAAAAATCAAAATGGTTTGAAAATGTCTTTAAATTAAAACTAATAGTTTTGTTTCACTCACAATCACCACTAATACATTAATAAAACATACTACAAAGATAAAACGATACTAATCTTTTAAAAACAATACAAAAACATACAAATTCAGTTGTAAACTAACAGCGCAAATTCACCATAATGTGTATGTTGTCACGTAATTTGACACCAATAACAGTTCTAGAGCTGCAAACGTCAAAAAAAGTAAGGTTATTAGTGACAAAATATATTGGCATACCTTAATCGAATAGCAGCATAGGATTTTATTATAACATTTTTGAACAAATGTGAAATACTTAAACTTTTGTGACTTATCATAATAATTTGATAGCCACTGTAGCTTAAATTCATTTTATAGACTCATATTGTGAAGGTTATTTACTTCTCAGGAATGATTATGAAAATAAATAATTTAATATGAACAGCCTCTGGATAACGTTGATTTTATATTTTTTTGTAGATAAATCTAAAAAAGGTGACACCCATCCACGGCTAGAGCCCTTCAGTCCCGGCCAGGTTTACAACAAGAGCAAAGGAACCCAAGTGCACGTTATAGCCAACACGAACGAATCTGCACAGTGAACATTCCAAGCTCTCCGTCTGCCACACAAACAAATTCAATTACATTATATAGGCGTATTTTTTTTTCTACTGGAACAAAGCATGAGAACTTAAAAATATAGGGAAGCTCATTGGTTTTTTCGTTGGATAGGTGCATATATAAGTATACATGTATAAGACGGGTTGTTTTTTACTCCCCTTTATTTTTTATTTTTATTACGACTGATTTTGTGCCAATCTTAGTTACGCAGAGCATATTTTTCTCATTTATTTTTGTATATTCTTCATCACTTATTGCAATAAGTTTAAAAATAAGTATGAGTGTTAATTGAACTGTATATTATTGCTGCACAATGTGCATTTTCTCAAGTTTCAGCGAGGTCGATTGTGAGCTAGATGTTAATCTAATCAAAGTAAGAAAAAGTATGATTTTTGTTATTTTCCTTGTTGATTTTTAAAGACACTCATTTTTGCTCAACACTCTTGATAAAAAGCATTTTTATCCCTCTCGAAAAGTAACTTTGTTCGAACTATTCAAAATAGTGTAATATTTTTACTATGACATCATTGTGAAATAGTGGTCCTTCGATTAATTTTGTCAGTTTGAGAAAAGGAAATAATAAAATCTAATGTTTGTGGCCGGTTAAGTAGTCTCAAGCAGTATGTTTTTTTCAAATTGTCGTCGAAATAAAGCTGGATAATAGTACACGCTCGTAATTGCCATTTTCAAGTGATCAATATGAATAAATACCATTTGCATTCAAAAAAATAGTCACCGTCGTTTACTCATTTCAATAAGACCTTGTCTAAAGCATCATTGATTACGTAAGTATTATCTGAATCATGTAAAACAGATGTCCCTTGTTACTGTTATATTTGAACAGTTCTGTAACAATAATGCTGCTTGTAAAAACTGGGACGATATCTTTACGTTTTTATACTTGAATGTGTTTCATCATTAATTTTTCTTGGCCTTTCGGTCGTCAAGTTTTTCACAGTAGAATTAAACTTGGAGGATCGCCATGTACATTTTAAAGCACAAAATGAATTTCAACTTATATTAAACCTTCTTTTAAAAATTTTATTATTGTATGGCAATCGATTTTTCCCATTTTCAACATCACGCGCATCACAACGGCTTCAAACGACTGAGTATAGTTAACAGTTACCAATCATTGGACCAATAGGAACGCAGTAGCCATCTTATAAGGGGGCGTGGCTCACAAGTCATCTGCACACGTCCCATACCTAGAGTTAATTATCAAAGAGGACTGGCAAAAGATTTTTTCTCGTGCTCAACCACTTCAGACTCTATTACAAACGGAGAAAGAAGAAAAATTGACGATGGTTACATGAGTGAAAGAATCCGTCTGCCACGCGTGCCCACATTTCACACCTGACGGCAATGATCAAGGGGCGTTGACAAAAAAATCATAGAATGCCGCTTTTTTCAACGATCGAAATTAAACTTAAAAAATCTACAAGCCTAAATCAAGACAGAAAATGACCATGTACGCTGTTAATCAAAGACAACAAAAGTAATATACTATACACACAGTTGGATATAAAAAAAATATTGGTTGTAAAGAGGATAAAACAGTAAAGGACAACATAATGCAAAAACACGGTTTGTAGCGAATTAAAACATCCAAAGACGTCATCCGAAAGAAAAAACCGTGGATAATAAACGAAATCCTGCATATCTTGAAAACAACTTAACACTAGATGCTCTACATAGCGTCTATTAGCACATATTTTACCATCGTAAGGAAACATATAACGCGTGCTGCGGTGGGCGAGGCTGAGAATTTATCAGAACCTCCTTAGAAATATTAATAAGATGCAAGTGTTTCCCCATGTGATTATGTACTGAACAATTCGTATTTGTTCTATCCGAATGTCCCGAATCTTTTGTAGCGCTCTCACAAATTGACCTTGAAACGTCATTGTAAACTTTAGGTATATATTTCTGTTGTATATTCTTGACAATTTAATAATATATTTCTTAAAAAACGTTTAAATATATAACACTCATACATTCTTCACAATGATTCCTTTGGTTAAGGTTAAAATTTAGGTGATAGGATTTGTATTATTTATATGTACCTAAATTGTATATTATTGATGTAAATATATCTTATTTAAACTATTGGTTACAAATAAATGTATATTTATTGTTTGTTACTTTCTTTGTTTTATTCCCCATTTATATTCAATTTCCCTTATCTGTTTTAACTTTATTATCGAAGATTTTGTGATTGGTCAAGAAAGAAGAGAAGGGATGACAGATTGGGAAGAATACTTGTTGGAAGAACTACAGTGTTGCCAATACTCCGTTACCAAGGATCATGATTTACCCTAATACAGTCTTACAAATGCTTCCATTGGTTTCTATCTTCAACTGCCCTAACGTTTCCTTGTACAATCAATCTTTCCAAATTATTTTAGAATCATATGACTTATTAGACTTAAGGCTAGTAAGTTCGTCAGGGTCTATGGAACCCTAATGTGCGTTTTAGCTTTTTCGATATTCTTATATTGCGATTTTTAAGTGATCTATCGGGTATAGTTTTCAATATTTAATTGAGCAAAGGAATTAATTTTACCCATTTCTTTGTCATCAGTTTTTGATTTCTTTTTAGGAGTAGCGAAGGCTTTTGTTGGTAGTTTATTATTAGAGTTTAAGTTTGGGGGGCTATCGGTAACCGATAAATTTAAGTAGGTGATTCAAGACTTGTTTTCAGTGGCTTCGGGTGAACTACATCGGATAAACGAGATAGGGCAAGCAAGTTGTAATCCCAGTTTATTTTTACGTGCTTGCTCCATGAGTGTATTCAGGATCGAATGACACGTTAGATAGTAGAAGCCTTTTTGTAGGCGTAATTAGTCTGCGAATAGATATTATTTGATTTCGAACAGAAATAGTCGGATTCTTTTGTATAAGATTATCTACTACGAATACAGAAGAAAGATAGATGCATATACGCTGGTTAGAAATACGTCAAGCAAAGGTTATTTTTTTAGGGATAACAATTTAGCCAATTGCCTTGATGTAATCATCAAATAGCACTACGTCTGGTATAGCCTTCATAAAAACGGCTTGACTTCTACGTTGTTGCTGTTACAGATTTTTCAGTGTGATTTTGGTTACTGTTGCGAAAATAGGTTGAACTGTTTGTGATGATGATACCATAATTTGACTTTATATGACCAGAAACGATTGGCCTAATTTTAGTTGTCGAAAGTATCTTATCGGACATTTTCACATGTGAGTTCGACATATGCAATCAAAGATATTTAAAAATTAATACTTTAGAATTACCAAAACAGAAAAAGTAAATAGTAAAATATCGGTATAAATAATAAAGGTTAAAAGATATCTGGCAAATGGTGGTTTGAGGGTTCTGACTCCATTGCCAAATCTATCCGCTAACCTATCAAAGGACAATTGCCAAAAAAAATTCTAATAATTAACTGCAATAAATATCAAAAGAAACAAATATTAATTCATTCGTTTGTAATATAAATTATAAAATTGCAGCGTCCATAAAATGTAATTTTTAAAAGCTTTCTCTCTTTATATTTGAAGCATTATGACATAGACATTATAAAGATTTGGCAACACCTGTCCACAATATTTCGTTTTGTGGAACTTAATTGACAGGTAATTTGAGGCTATCTTCGCTGGGACCAAATGTAAAAAATGTCCAACTTATATTATTTACTTGATAAACAAATCACATTAACTGACAAGTTTTTATTTTAAAAATATTATTAGAAGAAACCAGGTGTTCACTCATTGGCTTCTCAAATAGGAATTAACAAATATTAAAAAACATGAAATACTTCTTTATAGTGGATGATTTCAATACCAAAGGAAATGCGAAGATTTACAAGTATTAAAATGTAAAATCATGAAATACTTCCTTAAGGCAGCTTTACATCTAGGCTATGCAAGTCCGTCTTGCATGGCACATCTCTTGCTTAGCTTGACCTTTTTACATCAGAGATATTTCTGTGCAATTTTAGATCCACTTTCATTGTTGCCAACAGAGAAAATAATTATCAATTGAGGTTATTTTATTAAATGCGGATTTACAAGTATTAAAATGTAAAATCATGAAATACTTCCTTAAGGCAGCTTTACATCTAGGCTATGCAAGTCCGTCTTGCATGGCACATCTCTTGCCTAGCTTGACCTTTTTACATCAGAGATATTTCTGTGCAATTTTAGATCCCACTTTCATTGTTGCCAACAGAGAAAATATTTATCAATTTGAGGTTATTTTATTTTAAATAAATATAATTAAGTACTAAAATAAATAATATAATAAATAAATATACATATTTATGGTTATTAAAAGGGTGAAGGATGTCAACCAAAGAAAAGAAAACATTGTTATTGTTGAATATTTCTGTTGTAGCAACAATCATGAAAAATAATAAAAAAAGAAAACCTAGAAAATGCTGGGTCAAACCTTATTTGAATGCAGGACTGGGAAATTTGAAGTTACCCCAAGAGTTCTTGGATGCTAGAGACCTTCAAAGTTTTAAAACTTTTTCGAATGAACGAGTCCACTTTCCTTAAGCTCCTGAATAGAGATAAGGTTATGTTTTATTCTGTAATCTATTATAAATTGTTATGTTGGCAACATGAATTTTAACGATAAATTGCAAGAAATAGCATGAAAAATAGAACATGTTCTAATTTTTCGTCTAGCACAGGAATTGCATAGAAATAGCCCGTGGGCATGCGCAGTTCCATGATCTGTCTTGCATGGCTCTTGCCTAGCATGAAAATAGCATAATGTAAAACTGTCTTTATAATGGGTGACTTCAATGCCAAAGATTTGCGAAGATTTGATTGGAGAACATGGATTTAATGAATGCAATGGAAGAGGAGAAAGGTGGTCGAATTTGTACAAGAAAAAGATACTCCTCTTCTGCTTTTCTGAATTTTAGCTTTTTTATCACCGTCTCAATTTTTGAATTCAGTATTTTTTATTGTCTTGATCATTGTT